TAAGTGTCACTCAGAAAATACCTACATATTCCATTATAATCAAAAAAAAAATAAAAAATAATTTCCTGAACAATTGAATGAAATGCTATTGATAACAAAAATAATTTTGAAAAGAATCAACTGAATTTAGAAAATTCACTAGAAAGTGAACATTAAGTAGGTATTTATAATTTTATTATCCGATATGTAGTTATGACTACGAAAAGAATTAATTTCAAAGAAAAGCATTCATTATTTCTCCTATTCCAACCAAAAGTTTGCTGGAAAATTTTTCCGTTTTCTTGAATCGCAACTTTATTGAATTTTCTTTTGAAAAAATGTTGGTTCCCACTTACCAATTTTTGCTTCTGTCCATTTTATTCTGTGTGACACAACTAACAACGCCTTATAAGGAAGGATTCTTTCACCATTACGAAGAAATGCTTTTTATCAAAATCGAAAATGAGAAATAAAATATTCGAGAGTGAGATTTTTTTTAACAAAATAAAAACCCTCCCTTTCTTCTCCTTAATTGGCACGTAAGTACGAGAAGACGATTATTTCGCATATTTCCAATTGTTCAAAGTGGTCTTATCTTTCATCATTAACTAACCAAAATGTAAACCGGCTAACACGATACAAATAATTTTCAACTGTATTATAAGTCGATTGAGCTGTGAGAACATATTATTTTTTATTTTATGATTTTTATGCGTGCGTCTCTTTTTTATGATATTCGTAGATAATCTCAAAAATGGCCTTTTATGCACCCATTAATTCCAAACCCCAGTGAAACTAGAATTTATTTATTATTTATATCAACGTTGTAATTGCAGGCTTGCAAAATCCTAACAACGACATAAGTATCGATTTTTATTACGTCTACCCTCGCCCCCACATTTTCAGTCTCTAGTTCCAATGAAATACAAATTAAAATTTCCTTTACTTTCCTAGTGCATTTGGTAGTCATAAAACATCCTAAAAAAATATAATTTTACTGTCCGAGAAATTGAAATCGTTATCAGTGTTCTTTTCATCCTTATAACAGGATCGTCCGCACTTTGCTAAAACATAATGTATTTCATTCAACAAGAGGAAACGAACGGTTTGGCTTTTCAAACAATTTCAAATGCTCAAAAAAATCTTCGTAAATGTATGTGTATGTAAATGTATTCTTCCATGAATTCATTAGATGTGACACAACGCATGCATTTTCCAGGCAAGGTAAAGCGGTAATAGTCAAATTATTACAAAAATCTGCAGGATTGTAAGAAATCGTGGCCCGATCAGCATTTTTGAGATAAATTCAGGTGAAAGCTATTTGTCAAGTCAGCTGCGAAAAAAGCTTGCAATCCTGCATCTTCAGGTCTGTTCTCAGAGGAATCTCTGACAGTTTGCAACCTGTCAAGAAGTATCGCCCATACATGTTTTCAATGCCGTCGTTCCAAGATAAATCGGTAACTTAGCTGAGCGATTATTTCCGAAAGTTTTCAAACTCCCAGAGACTTTTGTGAGAACAAACCTTTTACCTTCGACCAAACCGACTGCACGCCACCACCCTTTCAGAACGATAATGTTATGGATTCCAGGTCCACGAAAAGTTTTCAACTGATAAAAACTTTTTTGAACATTGAACATATTGACTTAATACAAATTCCCTTCATTAAGTACTAATCGCTTTTATAAAATCGTATACAACAACCTATTTAAACTGACGTCAATAACACAACACTCGACTTGGAACTGAGTATCTACGCGCTACCAATAGACGATTCTTAGAATCTGGCTGGACTCTCGATGCAATTTTGTAACATTGCCTCGCTCTCAAATCAGATCGTCCCGATCTGATCCTGTCAAGATGTCAAGATGCATCACTTGGTAGTCTACGTCATTTACCTAACATATATAACACCATCGTCAAACGCAAAGTCAAAGGTCTCTTGGCCATTAGAGCAGAGCGGCAAGCAGGTCAAAAATGAAAAGGATAACAGCCCAGAGAATATTTTACTATTTTTTTTTTTTTTTTTTGTAATTTAATGATTCATTTAATCTAGTTTAGGTTCAATTTACTGAATTCCTTTGATTATGACTTTTTAGCTATTAAGTTTTTATTTTATATCAGCTTTGTCAATAAGACTGTCGGGCAGACTACAGTATGTTGAATGTGAAGGTAACAGAAGTAAAATGGAAAACATCCCCAAGGCACAATTCTGGGACCGACACTCTTCCTAGTCTACATGAACTCACTGTCATACATACCTCTTCAGGGCTCTCTCAATTTATATGATAATTGCATCACTTATTTTGACAAGGACCCTGCTAACTTAAAAATCATCATTGAAGAAGACTTGCAGAAAATAAGCGATTGGCTCTGTTACCACAAACTTAGTTTAAATGTGAAAAAATCAAGCTATATGGTAATATCAAAGTTTGAGTCCTGGCCTGACTTCACAATCAACTTTCAGGGTCTCCCATTGACTCGTGCAGACTGCATCAAATACCTGGGACTCTTTGTCGATTCAAAACTTACTTGGGATATGCACATTTTGCATATATGTAAAAAGATTACACCAGCAATTGGTGTACTTGGTCGATTATCGGACTATCTGTCCATCACGCATCGTAAGATGATATACAATTCCCTCATCCATTCTCACATATCATATCTAACTCTTCTATGGGGCAATGCTTCCCTGAACAAACTGCACTCATTGTCAGTTCTCCAAAATCGTGCTTTGAACAAATTGTTTAAGCTGCCATTTCTGTTTCCAACAAAAGACTTATATTATCCGAATGGCATCCTGGACATTCACTCTCTATATATCTTGCAATCATGCATCTTTATCTATTCTTGCAAGACTTCCAATATTCACTCTACAATAAGTCTAATCCCAGCCAAAACAGTCCATCACCACAATACCAGACTCAATGAAAACTTAAGAACGTCGGCAATGAACACTACAACTGGTCAACGCAGCATCTTATCAGAAGGACTAAAGTACTACAATCGAATTCCAAAACCAGTTAAAAGATTGAACATAAATTGCTTCAAGTGTAAGCTGAAGCAGCTGATCTTCGATGGAGACTTTGGGACTGTACAATGAAAGACTTTATCTGCAATTTAGAACTAATATATTCATAAATGCAACAACTTTGTGATACAGTACCTACTTGTACTGGATATTTTCTCTTGTGTGATATTGTATAATGTATAATAATACGGTATATTGTAAGAATGTTATATGTGAAACTGAATGACCTGCATAGCTTTTTAGCTCAGGGTCTATAGTTTAGGTACATACATCCATTGTTTAATTACCATGTTGAAATAGAGGCGAAAAAAAAAGACTCTTGTGTACTTCTGACAATAAAGCATATTCGGGTTTGCGTTTGAATATTTCTTCACGTAGGTACCGTACCTACCTATTCCATCGCATTCTTGACCTTCCAAGATTTTCTCGAGTCTGGTTTGTTCCTCATAGATTATGGCTTGAATTTATTCTCGCAGGAAATGAAAATTTTCCTGAAGCCGGTCATATTCTTCATCTTTTTCTTTCTGCCTTCGGGCTTCCTTTTCTTGTTTTTCTTTCGATTTCTGATCTGCTTGTCGTTGCAAAATTGCCGCAAGCCGGTGCTCTTCTATTTGTTTTTTTTTTCGTCTTATGGCTTCTTCTTCTTACTTCTCTCTTTATCTCCGATCTTCGTGTTTCGTGAAAGTGTTGCAAGCTTGTCCTGTTCTTTTTTATCTGCGATCTTCTTTTTCTTGTTTTCCTTTCTGTCTTCGGTGTTCCTCTTCTTCTTTTTCTTTCTACCTTCATTCTCCTTGTTGTTGTAGAAGTGCTGCGAGTTGGTCATGTTTTTATTTTGCTTTTTGTCTTCGGTATATCACATCTTGTCTTTCTTTTCGTTTTCGAGCTTCTCGTCTCTTGTCATCCATACTTTTCATGAAGCCCACTAACATTTAATCAACTTGCTTCATTTCGGCTGTTTGCTGTCCTCTATTCACTATGGAATCTTCTGTATTTCCATGAAACCTGATTTTAAATTTTACGTTGGGTGGCGAAGTCAAAATTTTCGTACTATGTTTAACTCTCAAATATTCCATCAACGCCCGATGAACGGGCATTTTCAGGAACACTTGAACAGAGATTCCCACGCAGATGACGGGGTATTCAAAAAAGTCCCTCAAAAACCCATTGAAAACTATCTATGACGTTCCTTCCCATCAGAGGTTGAAAAACAGCGACTGGTTACCACTGATCGGATGTGCAATCGAGGTGGGAGAAGTTGTGGGTCCTGAACAGGCTTATTTTAACATCCAATAACCCACAGATAATAATAATGCTTTCAAGATAATTTATGATAATCGTTAGCGAGTATATGATGATGATGATGATTGCTGACGCAGGAATTTAAATTTGGTTAAATATATTCTAACAAGCCAGCTAATTTTCAAAGATTTTCTAGATTGTGAAAACCTTTTCAGCATTTCAACAAATACCTACCTACCTATCTACCCAAGATGCATGATAATGTGAAAACTCAATTGTATGAACAAGGACTTCTTTGTTATGTGAACAGAAGGTATCCCTGTAACAATAACTTTTTTAAGTTTCTTTTTATGGAGTTTTTTCCTAGCAAGTATCTCCAACTAAATACGCGAGAATGTTTAAACCGAGAATTATTAACTTAATTTGTTTCCGAACCATCAATTTCATGTTTGGTAGGTATAACGATTTCTCATAATGTTAACAATCGCAATTATATGAACAAGGATTGTCTTCACGAGCTTGGCCTGTTTCATATTATTCCTCTCCTAACTAACTTTGAGACATTTTTTCCACCACCCACCTACAAAGGATCCCAACTGCAAATTGCATTCTTACTTTACAAGTGTTCCGAAGAATTTTGATGATTCCTCATTCACTCAAAAAAATCTGGAATGGCAACTTGAAGTTTGTTGAAGGTTAGGTAACGTCACGAATATGATTACACAAATTGGTTAATTTTTTTGTACTCACTCATAAATACAATGAGCCGCTGTCACAATAAAGTTTTCGTTAATAATTGATCCTCCACAACTAGCCTTATCGTCTATCAATAATAAAACTTGATAGGGATAGTCTTTAATGTTCGCAGGACTACCTCCGATGATGCGTAACTCATTTTTCATTTGCAGAAGACGTTGGCGATCGGAAAGTCTTGGCACGCAATGACCTGAAATCAAAAATTTCCAATATTAAGGCGTTCTTATATTATGTTCAATGACATTGAAGACTGAATTATAATATAAGCTGGCCGAGCATTTTCCATTAAGATGGATCGGCAATGCTCGAGATTGAGATAATCATCTCCTGATAATCATAAGGAGTACCTCAAGGGCCGGTCATCTACGATCCTACCTATATTCAATCCACACCTACGACGTTCCAAAGAGACCTCCGACACAGAGGTGGCCTCTTGCGCGGACAAATGTGCCATGGTCAGAGGCTCCAGGAAAAAATGAACCTCATCCAACAATCGTATGGGAGATTGATATTAATGCACAGAATGGCCAAAATATTCCATTCCTGAGAAGACGCTGCAACTAATCGATATTGCGGGCGAGGATGGAGCAATGGAGCAACGAAGTTAACTTAGGTCTCACCACGAACGCTGAACTAAGCCAAGAGACTCATATTCAAATTTCAAGGAGCTCAAAACAAAATCAAAAGGGTAATAGCTCAACTTTATCCACTTCCTCACCGGAACAGGACCAGCTATACCGCAATTGACTTACTGCTCGACTGCATGGGAATAGTCTCTTGTGAAGCAGTGGACAGCATCTAGCTATGCAGCCGTGAACGCTCCAGGGTACGTGAGGAACGCCAACATCAGAAGAACCAAGAATGAAAAGCTATAAAAGACTTCATGCGCCGCAAGGCAGGTGGCAGATACACTAGGCAACGTGGGGTCTTTTAATGGATTACAACCAGGCTCAGGTACAGATACTCCACAGGATTTACCTGTTACATGAGGCAAATGATTGCATGATTCAAAGCATATCAATCCCCACAAAAAACTGTTGAAGCCCGCAGAGGAATTTTTAAATCCCTGTGCGTGCTTTCCCTATTTTCCTTTCCAGCTCAGAATCTACATTTGTATGTAAAAGTATAGGAACGTGCGAGGAGACGATGTTTGAGCACACTGAAATCGGACCATCACCCGAGATTCCTTCTCCACTGCGTCGTGTGTGTGCGCGCAATCGAGGACGCACGAAATACCGGACTTCCACGTCATCTGGCAAGAGTATGAGCTCGATCATTACCTACTAGATTACGTTCATTTAAATTGTAATTTTCTTCTCGCTCCGATCCTTTTCGGTTCCAAGGCATTGGTCCTTGTTCAAGAAAAAATTGCTACGACCGAGTATACCGGGTGCCCACGAGATTACTTTCCTGCTGCCATTTTTTTATTTGTTCATCAATATCAACGAAACTTGGTAGGCTTGATATTTTGATAAAACACCATTTTTTTGCTTCCACGACAAGTTTTCTTGACTTCCGGTTTTACCGGAAGTTACCGAAACTTTTGATTTTCAAATAGCACACCCTGTGTGTTTTTTGTTTTTTGGATTCTACAGATCGTTTTACATCCTAGTGAACCACTTTCAAATCGAGTTTTGTCCAAATTTAGTTCTCAAATTAAATTTAGTAGAAAAAAAAAAACCTACATAATAAATCAAAAATGTTTAAACGAAAATTATGAAAAATATCGTGGCGTATTGTTGGATAAACTGATATTCATATCAGTGAAACAATTGGATGACTGAATGTGTTTATAATAGTTTTTATATGTAAAATAAACAGATGAGGAATCATTTACTTAAGAAAGGGTTTGTCTTGATGTTGAGTCAGTTCGTATAGTTATTTCTATGAGTTCACACGCTCTGCTTTCCACGCTGTGTTCGATATAATAAATATATTGAATATCGATAATTAACAAGTTCTTTTATTTCTTAGTCCATTTCCCAACAGGTTATGGGACCAGTGTACGTGTATTCATTGCGGTTGTGAAAACCAGGAGTGTTTAATGTGACAATGGAAAATTTGAAACTAAAAAGAAACAAAAGGCTTTATGCTAACAGAGCTTGAACTTAGATAAGAACATCAGAGCTCAGCAATTTAGAAATAATTATCGTTGAGGATATTTTAAAATTGATTTTAAAAGACGCAATTTCGAAAAAAAAAAAAAATCAAGTCTCTGAAACACAATAAAAAAAAGTGAAACAAAACAATTCCATCAATAAAAAAAAAAAAAAAATAGAACCCTTATAACAGCAACCAAAAAGGCACAATTAGTATTCCCAGTAATATGGGCATACAGGAAAGTCTTTAGTATAGGCTGGAGTGTCCAGAGAGGTTCCTTAGAATTTGCTGTCCGTAAGAAAAATGCAAAGGGCTAGTATGACTATTGCTAAAAAAAAAAGTGTTAGTATTTACAAAGGCGGTAAGCTTATAATTTATGGGTAAGTCTTTGAACACTTTAATAATAATTGCTCTTGAACTCACTGTTATTGGAAATTTAAAAAAAAAACACTATTATTCAAGCAAATAGTGACCATTAAATAAAAATAAAAATTATCAATTGTGGTTTGAACGTTTGGTCCACATTGGTGAGGTTTAAATTATTAAATTGTTATAAAAAAAAAAAAAAATAGAGATCGAGGACTTAGGGCGCAAATCGATCAGGTTATACAATGAGTATTTATGTGGAGCGTGCATAAACAAGCGCGACTTCCATTTCAAAAACATTGTACTGTTTGTGCATGAATTTACTTACTATTGTGTAACAGATTTGATGAGTCATAAGTCATATGTATTTTGTATGTTTCAAGATTCAGTTGCTGAAAGTGGGGCACATTTCAATTTACAGATTTTCAATGTATTCTGTGACAATGAAGGTGAATATCTAGTTACAGAAATGAGAGATTTTTGGTATGCAAAAAGATAAGTCATCATTTGAAAATTCCATAAACCCCACAAATTAAATGATGCAGCTATGTAAAAAAAAAAAAAGTTGGAGGCAGTTTTAACTGCCACATTCTCACTTAGTTTGACCCCTACTAAAACTTTAAAAGAATTTGAAACACCATACGAAATGTGGCGTAGTAAAAAGCATCAAGTAAAATATTCATAAGTGTTTGGTTCCATAATACCGGTACATAAAAACCAGGAAAACCAAATTTGATATCAAATCCTGGAAAGCTGTACTGGTTGGTTATGAACCAAATGAATATGAAGTGTGGGATGTGGTTAGTCATAAGTTTGTTGTAGTCAAGGATATTATTGTAGATATGACAAGTTTGTTTTTGTCCTCCAAGCCTTTTAATCTGCATAAAGCTGATTCCTCTGACTATTTGTCAAGAACAGTAGTTAATAATAAGCTTGAAAAAGTGAATGTAGAACACTTTTGATTATAAAGCTGATTCCTCTATTTGTCAAGAACAGTAGTTAATCATAGGCTTGAAAAAGTAAATGCAGAACACTTATGGTCATAAAGCTGATTCTTCTGACTATTTGTCAAGAACAGTAGTTAATCATAAGCTTGAAAAAGTAAATGCAGAACACTTATGGTCATAAAGCTGATTCCTCTGACTATTTGTCAAGAACAGTAATTACTAACAAGCTTGAAAAAGTGAATATAGAACACTTTAATTGTAAAAGCTGTTTCCTCTGACTGTTTGTCAAGATCAGTAGTTACTAATAAGCTTGAAAAGTAAATGTTTAACTTTTCTGGTCATAGAGCCAATTTTTCTGACTCTTTGTCAATATCAGTGGTTAGTTAATGATAAGTTTGAAAAAGTGAATGCATAACACTTTGGTGATGAAACCGATTCCTTTGACAGTTTGCCAAGATTGCTGGTTAATAAATCTGATAAAGCAAAATCAGATGACCAACCAATCCAAGAAAGTAGCTAACTGTTAACCCACAAACTTATCAAACTATATAATGAATGATTATAGTAAATCTGTGGTTGAAACAGATCTGCCAAATGATATTCATTCAGCTTCCACTATATTCACGATTCCCAAAGTAGTTAAATTAAAATCCTCCAGTGAATTGCATCCAATAAATTTGTTTTGCACTATTGACAAAATTTTAGAGAAAATGGTGTATATGCAACTTGTTGAGTTTATAGGTAGATAGAAATAAACTATTCAGTGATTTTCAATCAGGGTTTCGAGTAAGTCAATATTAGTAGTTAATAGTGATTATGAAAAAGTGAATGTAAAACACTTTGATGATAAAGCTGTTTCCTCTGATTGTTTGTCGAGATCAGTAGTTATAAATAAACTGAACTGAACTGAACTGAAAAAGTGTCAAAAATGAATGTAACACTTTGGTAATTAGCCTATCCAAAACACGTGACTTTGACAAGCAAACAAAGGGTTTGTGTGCCTCTTGGCGGACATTTTAATTTGAGTTCGACAGCATCTTGGATAGTCTAATAAAACCTTTCCCCTGACACTGATAGTTTGTCAAGATCGGTGGTTAATAAATCTGATATAGCTAAATCAGATGAGTAACAATCCAAGAAAGTAGGTAAATGTTAACCCTAATAAACTCATTAAACTAAATAATGAGTATAGTAAATCTGTGATTAAAACAGATTTGCCAAATGATATTGATTCACTCATTATTGGTAAATAAAACGTGGTTGTTAGTATCAAGACCCGAATATAAAAATATAGTGGATTGTAAATGGATATTTTCCATTGAAAATGATGAAATTGGAAAACCATTTAGATACAAAGCTTACTTAGCTGCTCGTGGTTTTAGTCAACATTACTTGGTAGATTATAATGAAACCTTTGCACATGCAGGTGGCGAGAATCGTAGGTTTCTGGTTTATAATAACCTTTTTAATCAGTTTACCCTTTTAATACATCATATAGACGTAAAAACAGCTTTCCCGGATGGGACATGGAAGGAAGCCATTTTTATGAAGGTACCTGAAGGCTGAAGGGTGGCTGGCTCAAGGTGTGACAAGTAAACCTCCTAACCAAGTTTGCAAGGCTTTGTATCTATGAACTAAAACAAACCACAAGATGTTAGTTTGAAATAATAGTAAAAGTTCATAAAGAAAATGGGTTTGAAAATTCATGAGTTAACCACTGTATTTATATCTTAGACAAAGGTGCAATATGTAAAATTATTTATGTAGTGCTGTAGATGGTATTTGCCACTGCAGATAATAATACATTGAATAGTTTCAAAAGGTATTTGGCAAATAACTGTTCTATGTTTTATTTGAAAGACAGTAAACTATTTTTGGGTACTAAAATTGAAAGGTAATCAAAAATAAAATTACTCTTGATCAATTTTTATATAAGTACAGTTCAAATGTACATGAAAATATTTTACATAAATTTAATATGAATGACTGTTGTGCCATCAGCTGTGTCAGCACTCCACTTCCTAGTAAACTGCATTTGATTGGTTTAAATTCAGAAGAAAAACATGATAGCCCTTGCCGGAATCTAATCGTCTGTTTAATGTATATTTTATATTATGTTATGTATATCAAGCCTGATTTAAGTACCACTGTTAATATTTTGAGCAGGTATTAAAACAAGAATAATAAATAGTTTTGGCAATATTTGAAAAGGGTCCTTAGATATCTTAAGGGTAACATCAATGTGAAGTTGACACAATATTTTACTTGTCAATATATCAATTTCTTGAGTGATTCTATTAATCTTGACTAGGAAGGTGGAGATGATAATATAAACAATATAAAAGCACAACAGGATATTTATTTAAACTGTTTGAAATTTCTGTGATATGTTGGAATACAAAAAGGCAGTTGTCAGTAACGGCATCATCTACTGAAGCCGAATATATGATTTTTCTTTTTGAAGAGGCTCTTTGGTTAAAATCATTAGCAGAAAATATGCATAAACATTAATATCAGAGTCAATTATGACCTAGGAGGACAACAATAGAACCAAACCATTGATGCAAGTGAAATTTGAGAAATTAGAATGGAATTAGGCTTAGTAAATAAGTTAAATGGTTTGATTAGGTTTTTCTGGGTTTTCCCTAATCCCGAGCAGCAAATGCTGGACCGTTATTGTAATTTTCCCCAGAAAAGACATACATAAGGAAAGCAGGCCTATTTATGTTATACTAGGTTTAAGTTGTATTACACTTTTAGTATAATTGATCAAATTTTTGAGGTGGCGTGTTGGATAAACTGATATTTATATCAGTGAAACAAAAATTAATAAATTAAACTTTGATTATTAGCCTATACTTTGCTAATTTATATCGCAGCTATGGATGACTGAATGTGTTTATAATAGTTTTTATATGTAAGGTAAACAGATGATGAATCGTTTACTTAAGAAAGGGTTTGTAATTCTTTCTCTTGATGTTGAGTCAGTTCGTATAGTTATTTCTATGAGTTCACACGCTCTGCTTTCCACGCTGTGTTCGATATAATAAATATATTGAATATCGATAAATTAACATGCTCTTTTATTTCTTAGTCCATTTCCCAACATGTATTATATCGTTGGATTCGCCTTAAAATACTGCATTTAGTGATGTTATGAAAGTGATATCTTTCTATTCTAGTTTTTGAGCTAGGGCAAAAATACTAAAATAATGGAGTTTCCAGCCCTCTATCAAAAAAGTTTACAAAGATAAAATTAAGTTTGTATTTTTCTGAAATTAAGTAAAGTATGTAGAGTCATTTTAGGATGATCATGGCACTCTAGTTAAAGAATTTAAATTTAATTTAAAAACAAAATTTGGTAAAAACTCGATTCAAAAGTGGTGCATTAGGACGTGAAACGATCTGTAGAATCCGAAAAATAAAAAATATACAGGGTGTGCCATTTAAAAATCAAATGTTTCGGTCATTTCCGGTGAAACCAGAAGTCAGGAAAACTTTTTATAAATGCATAAAAATGGCGTTTGGTTAGAATATCAACCCTACCAAGTTTCGTTGATATCGATAAACAAATAAAAAAATGGCAGCCGTAAAGTGATCTCGTGGGCACCCGGTATACCGAAATCGTTATACAAGGCGTCATTCAGTTATTATATCTTTAAATTTAAAAAATTGAAAATCGGGTGAAACGGGTAAGTCATTGAGACGCACACTTTTCATAAAAAAACAATTGAATATCACTTCCGGTTACTTTGGAAATGGACCCAAGTCAAGATTTTTTTATGGAAACCTGTATATTCTTTTACACAGTTGGATAGAGCTTAAAATTCCCTTTTCAATGACATATGATAAGTGGAATTTATTTTTAAGATGGCGGCGTGAGAAGGCACTTTCTTAAATTCAATATAGCGGCATTCTAACCTAACCTTTGAATACCTAACCGAAAAATGTATATGCATTTTGGTAGACATTTTTCGGTAGGCCATTGGACACACTTTAATTCTAGAATTTGATAAGTACCTCTTCCTATTCAAAATTTTTAGAAAATTTGAAACTAAAATTTGCATTTCAAAATTTTTTTAAAATGCCCTTGTTTTTGAGCAAAATCATTTTTTTTTTTTCAAATTCGGTCTAAAACCAATTCAAATCTAAAAATTATGGATTGTTAAAAGTGTTTGTTTAACAGAAACATTATCGGTTACATCAGAATGCCGCCATATTGAATTTAAGAAAAATACCTTCTTACGCCGCCATCTTGGGAACAAATGCAAGTTGTGATATGTCATTGGAAAGGGAATTTTAAGCTCTATCCAACTGTGCAAAAAAATATACATGGTTCCATAAAAATTTCTTGACTTGGATCCATTTCTGGAGTAACCGGAAGTGATATTCGATTGTTTTTTTACGAAAAAAGTGCGTCTCAATGACTTACCCGTTCCACCCAATTTTCAAATTTTTAACATTAAAGACAACTGAATCACGCCTTGTATAACGATTTCGTTGTCACCCGGTATGTATGTTACGGGCCACAATTCACCAGCTTCAATTGTTTTAAAATTTGTCAATAAACTGAATTTACAAGACCTTTCCTTAATTTTAGGATTTATAAATAAAGAATGATTCACTTGCTCCAAAATCTTTTATTGACAGGCCTTTACAAAATACTTCACCAACTAAAGAATCGTCAAACATGTTCTTGTAGGGACCACGAACACCCCTAAAATAAAACTTACTGTTAAGTACCTTGGTTAGTACCTATTTTAAATATAAGCTACCTCGCTCATACTTAGAGCCGGTTTATTTATCTTCTGATAAACTGTCCGGTATGCAATCTGACGGATAAAACGCAATCTGTAATCTTATTGGTCAGCCAGTTATCCGCCGACCAATAGAATTATGGAACGGTTGATTCATCTTGCATATAGTTACCAGCAAGTTTATCTGAGGATAAATAAACCGGGCCTTAGTTAAATAAAACAGTTATATCTCCACCCATCAGTCATTTACAGCTAAATAAGGAATTTAAATTACTATAGATATCAATTCCCTTATGAATAATAACCAAAACGATGGATGAACCATTGAGGTTACGGTAGGTAGGTAGGTACTTTACTTGTTGACAGATGTCATTTAGGAGCCCAAATCAAGAAACACTTAGTTTAGTTAGATTATAATTTTTCCTTCAGTTTTCCCTTTTTAGACTTTCTGAGATGAAAACTCAATAAATATTCTCATCGGTTTGATTTTTGATTCGAAAGTTTAAATCTATGAGCCTGAAACGGAAAAATCCTTTCCCCTAGAATTTGGATGCCTGAATCAAAGTAGGTACTAAAAAGGAATTAGTCGATTCGTGAATCGTGACAGAACCATATTTCGTTGTTGCTTTTCTCGTGGCTTTTTGGCCGTTTTTGAAAGGTTTAGGCCCAAATAATTCGTCAAGAGGTGGCTATTAGCTCTTTCGTAGCACCAAAGCCCTATTTTGCTGATTCATGATCAAATTATTGAAATTGAATTCACTTTGATTCCACGTTTGCGAAAAAGGTCAATTTCCCATTGGTAAGCCCCTGTTTTTGACCTGATTTTTATTTTTCCCACTTTCGAATATTAATTCCAGGCTTCACTGCCAAAAATATTTAGGTAAATACGTACCTACATACCCTAGTCTTCACGAGCCTGATGCAGGGCTTTCTTTCAGGCCTTTTAATTAGTCATCTTGCTGTGGGTTTTTCTCGTTGAGAGCTGGAGCGTCATTCAACCACCAACAGCTTCAGGTTGTTCTCCGATCGTACAGCAGGCTGACCTTAAAGTCTTACTGGGCTGGGACTCTGTAAAGAATAGAGATATTTTCTCTATCTCTATTGACGTCCCCTCTCAATTGATTTCGAAAAGAGAGAAGAAGAGAGCAAGTGCCATAGCGATAGGGAGAACGATCTCTATTCGTTACAGAGTCCCAGCCCTTGTACTAAAATATTATTTCTTAACCCTTCAGGCTTACAGTTTTGATTAGATTCTTTTCTATTAGTAGATTATAATCACTTGATAATTTACACATTCACAAATTACCACACTTTTAGTTATTGTCACTATACACTGTACACCAGATATAAAGAGATCTATTTACGAAGGTATTTTGGGGTCAATTGTTAATAAGTTTAGAGACGTTTAACCATACCGAACTATCGCCCTATTTGAATTCACCGCACTCTCCACTGTAAGACTTAGTCGGCAGCTCTAAAAACTGAGTTTCCTTTCTCGTATTGAAGTACCTACTATAAGCCACCTTTCCAGCATTCCATTTTCATATCTTAACATATTGTACGTGCGAAAAAGTTTACTGGCTAAATAATTTTGATTTAAAATATTATATTTACTCACCCCCTGAAACCAAAACTAGAAACATCACACAGTAGCAAACACAATATATCATATTGGCAGGTAAACCCCATTAGTACTAATCAAAAACAAATTATTATCAAGCCTATAAGTACCTACTTTTTAGTGAAGAGGTGTACTATCTATATTTATTGATAAAACGCAAATTGTTTATTCATAATTGTAACAATTACCAGAGATCATTGATGCGGATTTAGGATAGGTATTTTACCGTTGATTGGTGCATGATTGAGTTGTTCGTCATAGAGGCGATAGACTGGAAAAAAAATGTTGTACAGGAAATACGTGAACGTAATAATTGTGTTTGCGTAGATACTAGGGGCAGCCTACGGAATGGGAAATTGGTTGTTTACAAGCATTTATTTCAATTTATTTGTATTTAAACGAGAATCAGTCACAATCTACATCAATCCTTGAAGCTTATTGGTGAAGACAACAAAACTATATTTTTCTTTAGTAAGTAATCCTTACAAAAAATTAATACATCAGGAGAATGCCGACAATATCTGGCAAAACCACCCAAATATAGCTCACAAAAAAACCTAACTTCAAGCGAAGGGCTCTGAGATCCTGCAAACTGGTGAATTATCGAATGTATTCAAAAGGTTATACAACGAACTAAACTTTAATAATTTATTAATTTTTATTATTATTAATAGCAAATGAACAATATTATTCAAAAGGTTATACAACGAACTAAACTTTAATAATTTATTAATTTTTATTATTATTAATAGCAAATGAACAATATTGCCACCAAGCCCGATAATCCCAAAAGGCTTATCGCTTTTTAAGCCTCTCGTGTCATATGGGAATAATGTACAGTGAGTTGTATAATCAATGTACGCTCCACAAGCTAGTGCAAGGCCATCTGACTGGAGGATTGCTGGGAGGGTGGTGTCAGAAAACTCTATAATACTACTCTAACATATCCACTCATTTGATGCTTTTAAGAGTGCAGGGCCAAATGACATTTTTCCGGCACTTTTACAAAAGGGGCTACGGACTCCGCACCTAATGCGCCTCTTCATGGCCTGCCTCGCATATGGTCAAATACCATAATCCTGGCGTAAGGTCCAGCGGCTAAGGCTTACAGACCCATCAGTCTATCCTCGTTTCTTGTAAAAACACTGGAGAAACTGGTGGACACATTCATAAGGGGAGAGGCAGTGAATACAATGCCCATGTACCCTAATCAACACGCCTACAGGACTGCCATATCAAGTGAGACGGCTCTTCACAACCTTGTAACATGGCTGGAGCGAAGGATGTCTCACAAAGAGATGGCTCTGGGGGTATTTATAGACATCGAAGGAGCATCTCTTCGACTCGATAAAGAATTCTGCAGAGACACTATTGTCAAATGGATCAGTCTCACGCTGGAAGGCAGAATCATTAGAAGCTCGATTTGGAATGCGAATATCAGCTCAACCTTAGCCAGAGGCTGCCCGCAGGGGGTCTACTACCACACTTGGTGTAGTGCCTAGTTCTGGATGGGCTGCTCCGCACACTGAACGAGAAAGGTATGGAATGGGAAATTGTAGGTATGTACACTCAAGGCTACGCGAACGATATTGTCATCGTCGGCTGCTGGTAGGGTACTTAGCACTATTAAAGGCATTGTGCAAACAGCTCTTGACATGGTCGAAAGATAATATAATAATCACCGCCTTTCGATACATCTGGACAAGACCGAAGTACTATCATTTATAAAGCGGAGAAACGTGGTCCTGGAAGGGCTTACGCTATTTGGATCGAGACTTGCTCCATCCGGTACGCGTATTTACGTTCTATACCATTATTCAGATGAATGCCGTTCTATACCGTAGTATGATTTTTATATGCGAAACGCGCGTATGTTTACTTCAAATTATACCGCGCTACAAAGTTCTCGCAACAGTATACAATGGAACGCCTCCACTCAATTTTCTAAAAACGTGAACAAAAATTGGCGGCAGTTGTTAAGGCAGCCATGTGCATTTCAGTGCGCTGCATTTAGAGTTACCTATTGCAATAATTCTTGTGTTAATATAAACATTGTTGAATTCGCAATTTGAGCAAACCTGAATGCCTAAATATTATCCACAAAGAGGATGTAATTGAAAGTTATAATTAGCTTAGTTGCAATGATTACACTGTTATTATAAGAAGCAAGGATCATCATAAGGATGAGACAAATAGAGAATGGTGTGACGATTGGATTCATATTATAAAATATACAATTTGAACATTTTGTCATGTTATGCCACTGCTTTGCTGCTACTGTCGCGCCGCTGATCTGCAACGAAGCTACCACGCTTATTCAGCATTCCGCTTACTCAGCATAGTTATTAAGTTTCCATATTATATTTTATTTTACAGCTTTTTCCTCAGAGATCATTCTTGAATCAACCCCCGAACAAGATTGTCAATCGGGACTTTTTAACCTCAACTTTAATGTCAATCGCGACTTAATTATTGTTAATCGGGTTTTAGTACTAATAGGTTACGTTTTGATGTGTAATTGTTTAATAAACGTTACAACGGAATAAACTGATGCCAAGAGGCTTGCTTCTTCTCCCTAAATAAAAGAACTTAACAAATTTTGGCGACGCGGATCGGATTAGGGTGAAACGAAAAGCTATACAGAGTGATATCAATCGTTCCAGATTGCATCTGCCAGCATCGTAAGTAGACAAGTTTTCAGAAGCATTTTCTAGATTTTATTTCATATTTATCAGCATACCTATTGTACCTAATACCCGAAGTCAAACTAGCTCACGTCCCGAATCCCCTCAAGAATCCTTACATCCAGATAATGATGACAATAACGCTCCTATTCATGCTATGAAAAATATTCGCGCAATCATTTCAGAAAATTTTGATGGCGATCGCACTAAACTGTTTGATTTTTTACAAGACTGTGGTCAAGCATGGAGTCTTTGGCGCGGCCCTCAAAAAGGTCTCATCACTCTTACATAGAATCCAAACTCAAAGGATCTGCACGTGCTCAAACCAGATTCAAAAAATTCTATCATTATGATGAAATTCGAGAATGTATAATTGAACTATTTGGCGATCGACGAGATCTTTCTCAAATCTTAGAAGAATTAAATACATTAAAACAAAGTGAAATGGAATCAGTGCAAAGTTATTCTAATCGTATACAGTGTGTCCCGCTTCAGGACTGACCACCCTTCTAAAATTTTTATTTTTCAACCGATTCAATTCATTCTTTTTTGCCTTATATCTACTCAAATTTGGCACTTATTTGGCCCATTATTTTATTTCTGCGGCTGTACTGGTGTACAGGGTGTCCACATTTATAAGCTCACATTTCAATAAGTACTATTAGGGATTTCTTAGAAAAAATCTGATAGCAGATTCTTGTTTAGAATGGTCTAAAACCCAAATGTACTTATTTTTGTTTCAATACGATACAGGGTGATGACAACAAATTTTCACAATTTAATGAATCAAACCGCAAAAATGTTTTATTTTGAGACAAGCTTACCACAAATTTTGGTTAAGAGTGCGCTTCTCGATGCTGAAAAAATAGGTATTTCGCGTTTGCGACTATGCTGTTTTAATAAAAACAGTTGCATCTAGGGAATTCTAACAAAAACTGTTTCTAAGAATCTACTTTTGTGCTTGCTTGACCAGTATTTTTTTTTTGATTTTTCTTATTTTTTGAAAAAAAAAATTCATAAAATGAGAAAAATCAAAAAAATTTTACTGGTCAAACAAGCACATAAACATATCCTTGAAAAAAGTTTCCGGTAAAATTTTCTAGATGCAACTGTTTTTATTAAAATAGCAAAGGCGCCCTCGCGATTTTCAGAATCGAGAAGCGCACTCTTAAGGATGTTGTTCTAAAACTATGTTGTATCAAGTTTTGTTGTTCTCAAGGCCTCAAAATATGACATTTTTCCGGTTTGGTCCATTAAATTTTGAAAATTTGCTGTGATCACCCTGTATCAAATCGGAACAAAAATTAGTATATTGGGGTTTTAGACCATTCTAAACAAGAATCTGCTATCAGATTTTTCCTAAAAAAATCCCTAATAGTTTATTGAAATTTGAGCCCATAAATGTGGACACCCTGTACACCAGTACAGCCGAAGAAATAAAATAATAAGCCAAATAAGTGCCAAATTTGAGTAGATATAATAAAAAAAAAATGAATTGAATCGGTTGAAAAATTAAAATTTTAGAAGGGTGGTCAGTCCTTGAGCGGGACACACTGTAGAAACTCTACAAACACTGGCTCTAAATGCCTCTTCTTTCCAAAATCACAATGAATCAGTAAGTAGAATCGCTATGTTAAAAGAAATAGCTTTGCAATGGTTCATCCTTCACTCAAACGACGATATTTCTAGTTGTTTACGAAGAGCTAAACCCAAAAATATTGAGGACGCGCTCACAGAAGCGATCATAGAAGAAAAACATTTGCTTGCCGGAAGGTCCAAATATGTCAGCAATTCTTTTAAAAAATATTGCAGTAACTGTAAAAAGAAAGATCATCCATTCAAAGAGTGTTATTCTAAAAGTTGAAACGCCGTTCAATTTAACTCAGCACGAGGGCAAACTTCTAAATCTAACACACCTCCAAAAACAAACTCCTGTCCAGATGCGTCTACTAATTCAAATTATAACAGTAAATTCTGTAACTATTGTAAGAGAAAATGTCATATCATCACTGAATTTCGCAAAAGGGAATATAATAATAAAAAAAAAGAAATTCAATGTACAATGTAAATAATCAGCAAAATCAGTCTTTAAACGCCAACCAGTCCAGTGAGTGTCACATTGCTGGACTGAATGAAAGAAATTCTGGCACATCTCAATCTGAAAATCATTCTCAAACTCAAAACCAAATATCTTCAGAAACGAACGCATTCTCATATACTATCAGCTCTAATAATAATAGCTGCTACATTTACCTACCTCATCTCGATATAAATGGAAATCTCTTCAATTTCAAACTATTGTTAGACACTGGTTCTAACGTCTCGTTAATTAAAACCTCTAAACTGAAAACTACCAGTTGTTTTATAATCCTTCAGAGAAAATATCATTAAACGGTATTAATCCCAATG